CACTTTATGCTGTACATGCATTCCTGGAAAACAGTGCATCTTAAATTTACATAAAGGCAACCCACTTTACAATGTAATAAATAGGAATGTGTTCCAAGACCTCGACTACTGACCCCCAGACCCATTTCTACCACTTTTACAAGACAAATTTTACACACAAGCACAGGGCGGTGCTGAATGTTACCATCATGGGGATGGCAACTACAGAAACGTGTCCCAGACAATGAGCAAGGAGCACAGAGTCACATAGGAGAGCATATTTTGGTGCGTATCACTCCCACAATGCACCACACAAAGCAGCTGACTGCGGGCTTGCACCACACTGATCGCATAAGGGTGAATTTACCTCGCATATAACCAACTTTAGGTACAAAAAGGGTCATTGCCTAAGAGCGAATTCACACATATCGAACCTGCATGAAGCGAGGGAAACCTGTGCATTGAGAATTATAGCTGAGACCACCTTTCAGCGCTGAGTACCAGTGTTGGTACAGTTTGTTTCTATTAGTTGTAATGAATGGTGACAGAGCTGAGGGTGCAGACAGACAATTAATTGGATTCGTGTCAAATACTCCTTGTGTCAGCTGGTATCGTATAGCTGTGACACTTATCCTCTAGCCACACAAGTGCAACAGAGCTGTTGCATATTTAACATATAGGACTGAAGTTGCAGGTCCTTTGTATCCCTGCAGGAGCGTGCAGATGTGACTATTACAGTATAACATGCTGTCAACATGTCTAAGCCCTTTTAAAGTGGTTAAAAGTTATATCTGTACATATAGCCTGATGCTGAGTGTGCATTAGTGAGTGAGCGTGTGCATGTATGTGCGCACATGCGCATACAGGGCTGTGCCCACACACGTGCAAACACACCATTTCTTTCACAGCTAAACCAAGACTGTTAAAAAATAATCCACTGCTAAGACTGCTATAGAATAACTGTACAACACGTGCATCAGGGAGCTTGGCACCCAGAGGGCTCTGGGTACTAACCATAAACTACAACACGCTAAAGCACAAAGCCAAAAGGGAAACACCAAAAAGCCAGTCCCCAGCTTCCCGCTTGGGTTTGGTGCAGGTACCACTTGCATGCAGCTAAGATTAGGACTCGAGTCTAGGTCAGCCCTACTTAAACCCCTCCATGCCTCAGCCCCACTGTTTTGGGGGGTAGGAGGGGATAAGCTTGTGCTGTAGTACTGTGCTGGGTAAGGCAGCATACCTAGAACAGCCAGGAGATTGCAGTAGAGACCAAGCTGGCAAACTGCTGGCCCCGACCAGGAAGTTTACAGATGTAGCTACAACCCCCCTTCCTCCATCTCTTTCTATGCTGATGTCCCAGCAAAGTTTTGCTTTTGCCACCCATCACCTTGCACCAAATATTATTCCTCTTGGGGCCGAAGCCTGATGTCTCACTGCAGCTTTAACAAAATCAGCAGAAAAATCAAGCTGATAAATATCAGTGCACCAGAATCACAAAGGCCTAGCACAGGGAACTGCTGTTCTGGCTCCAGCAAGAGCTCGTGTTATCCAAAGAGTTCCACAAAAATTATGGCATGCTTTCACAAGCATGCATGCATCTGCACACACTAACAGGCACTGTGGACATGGGAAAACAATAACTTATTGTCTGTCAATCAGTCTATAACTTGCCTAGCACTTACTTTAATAATTCTACTCCAGGTCGCATCCCCGAAAGCCTAAGAAACTGTGTGAACAAGGAATTCTTTGTCACAACAGCTCCATGGTCAGTAATAGATCAGCAAGCAATTCATCCAGAGCTCAATGGTGCCACATACAGGTAGGATGAAGTAATTTCATAACCACTTCTAAGGATTAAGGTTCCCTTACAGAGATGCAGCTTGAATTCCATATGCAACACTGAAAACATGCCGCTTTTTCCCCATCTCTGTGGATCTGGCTCCACAGAGGAGCTACGTGTGGTTGCTCTGCAGTCATTCAGGAGGATTTACGGGGAATGTCCTTATTTATTATTCTGGAGGAATCCTAGTTTTACATGTTGATTCCATCGAGGCCACAGAATGGCTATTGCCATAGCGTGGCCCAAATGTATAGTTTCTGCTGCAGAGCCTGCTTCACTTCCAGCTGTATTCCTGGAGCAGCACTTCGTGGAGTCTGGCTCATCTCTTGTGCTCCTCACTGTGGAATAAACACTCGACTGAAAACTCTAGCGACATTCTGAAAATACTCTCAAGACTCCATAAGGCATGGGGGCACTTTTGCTATGGGGTTGGGGGGAAGAGGGGTATTGTTAACTTCAGCGCAGCAACCAAAAGGACAAGGGGAAATGAGTAGTGATCTGTTTTTCAGCCTTCTATTAAACTCCCATAATGGAACACAAGAGGCTGGGCACCAGTGTATGCTCTCTCTGTACAACAATTCCACTGTTGCATATAAGAGTTACATATGCAACTGGTCGTGATGCTTTGGTAGAGTACATGTAAAGCATCAAAACTGAGATGTTAGCCCTTAGGCTCTCTCATGCTGGCACTGAGATGTGCCCTTCCAGGATGGGCACCATCATGTTGGTGCAGGCTCTTGCCTTCACTGTTGAACATATACATTTTTACCACTGGTACCCAACCAACCCACTTTGTTAGCACCTTTTATACGCACTGAAGCAGAGGGTGGTGCGTTGAGTACATGCTGTAAAACACAGATGGGTAAAACAAACAAAAAAATACATTTTCAGTGAAATGGGCAAGTCCTGTTTGGAGGAGACTGATGCTCATGCATAGTTGCATGTGTTTTTCCAACGAATGGCAGAGACCAGACTACAAGGTTGGTAGTTAACCGGCAGCAGGTCAGAATTAAGCAGTTGAAAGCCACAATGGAGAAAATAAGCCAAAGCACAACAGGTGTTTGAGCAGAAGCATCCATCTCATTGTGGGGTGGGGTGGGAAAAACCCTTGTTTCAATGGGATTCAGATGCTGTGATTGACAGTGACCTTTTCTCCCTCCCCAGTTAAGATGAGACTACCTACTTCGTTTGTCACTTTCTCCTCTGACTTCCATGTAAGTCTCTCCCTGCTGCCCAACTTCCTAGCTCCACTGCCTCTTTGACCCTGTATAGACTTTGCCTTCTCCATACTAGTGCTGCCACCAGCTTCCTCCTTCCCACACTTCAGCAGCCACCTTTTCTTCTTAAGCTCAGCATTGGTTTGACTCCCTACCTCCATCTTCCTCTCCATTATGATTGATAATGTAGCTTTCCTCCATCCACCAAATTAACCATGAGAACAGCTGCTTCCCTACCCCTCTGCTCACTGCACTCTAGACATAGTAGCATTAGAGCTGTCTTTCTCTCCTCTCTCCAGAGCTTGTTCCCACTGTATCATCAGCTGGAACTTTAACAAGTTTTGCTCCAAACAGGCATAGTTTAAGTTTTCTGTAAGTTTGAGGTAGCTAGCCCACCAGGGAAGCAGACTGGAGCAAGTGCTGATGTTTAAGCCAGTAACGCAAAAGGAATGCAGCAACAAGTTACAGCAGTTTGTCATCTACTAAAATAGTCACCACAGGCTGCTAATCAAATCACGGTCTAGCTGCCTTGTTTTGCAGTGAGATTGCTCCTGTGAAGTAGTGCAGATAACTGTTGCAGCAAAGACAAGCCATCACTCAAGCACAGGGCAGTTTTATCTCATCTTGTCTGCTGTGACCTCTCCACTCCAGCCTCCTTGCATGTCATCTTCATCCCTGCCAGGTCCTTGTATGCTTCAGTCACTGCCTTCTGACACTTTTATCTCAGCAATCTTCACACTACACAAGTTATACATCCTGTCCTCAACTCTTCACCTCTGTGCACTTCTGGTATGTTTGGTCATAGAGCCCCGCTTCCTCCTGCCGTGCTGCTTTGCATCCTCTCCAACTGCTCTTGAATCCTTTCCTACTCTTAGCTTTGCCCTGTCACTCATGGTACCTATCTGCCTTTTCACAGCCTCTCACTGTTCCTCTGTCCTCCAGATCTGATCCCAACTGACCCCACTGCCATTCCACCAGCTCAAAATGGGACCCTGAAGTTGCCCTAGCCTGGCAACAGAGAATTTTCCAGTATGGGGGAATTTCAGCCAGATCTAGATCCAGGTGGAGGTCATGACAAGGCAACGGGAGGGGATGAGAGCAATCTTTTAAACAAATTTCAGCTGCCAGTAAGAACTGTTCTCTCTTGCACTAGCAGCAAAACCCATCACCTTTCCTGTATCTTCTGCATCCACTTGTAGCTTGTGGCATCTTCTCTTTCACCCCTCCACCCCACCCAGAAGTCATCCTAAAAGCTTCAGTAGCAACTACCTCAGCTGACCCAGATTTCCTCATCCTTGGTTCATACCTTTACTCACAGTCCTTCTAAAATTTAGCTATTGCAATGTTTTCCTATACCATAAGGCTATGTTAGCTTGTTCTGAGAAGAGTTGGAGTTAAAGCATTGCTACAGCTTTTACCAACTGTCCAAAATACAAACTCACAGGCATCAGCTTACACTTGGAGCTTGGAGCCTCGTTGCAAATGGTATTTACATTTTTTGAGCACATGCAGAGTGAGTATCCTTGTGGCACATCCAACATGCAGGGGCATGCGGTTGCCACAAAAAAAATAATAGCAGCACAGATTTATGCTGCTGCATTTTGCTGCTGCACACCCCCCTGTACGTGGGACATTGGTGTGGGACAAGCTGTCCCAGGTGCTGGCCCCAGCAGCCTTATCTGGGGTCCTGGGGCCTCCCAGGGCAACAGCGCCAGCAATCAGAGCATTCAGAGCCTGGCCAGGCCCCATTTCTGGTAGCACACGCTGCTGCCATGTGTGCCATGCCACTTTTTTTTTTTAGCAACCCTTTTTCTTGACACCAGGATCTCCGGGTGTAAAAAGAACTGCACTGCTAATTAGCAGCGCAGCAAATGGGCACGTGCACTATGTGTGGTTTGCAGTGCCTCAAATGGGCTTGAGGCACCACAAACTGCACATGCATGCTCATCAGGACACACCCCAGGTGTCCCACACGACCTTACAACATGTCTGTAGCCATTTGGTATCCTAATATCCTTCTCACCTACCAATTAGCAGAGTAGGAGCAGATCCAGACTGCAAAGAAAGTTCATTTCATGCTGTTCTTATAAGATTGGCTTAAAGAAAATGTTGTGGTTTTAATTGATACACCCTCAAGAAGCCTCCACCGAATAACCTGGCTGGAGTATTAATCACCAATAATCATCTTGTCAATTCTGATGCTACTGAGGAAAAATTTCACTGGCACCCATCCTGCTCACAAGGTGACACTCCTGTACCACAAAATGAACCCTTCAGAGCGTGTACCAACATAAGCCTGCAAATAAGATTTACTGAGATCTTTGTAAAACAGGCAGTTGATTTCTTTGGTTAAGACCACAGAACAAGATTGCAGGGGAGGGGTGTCATCAACAGGAAATAGCAGCTTTAATCATTAAGCTTTTTTATTTTTTAATTAAATCATGGCTTCCTGCTAGCACCGGCCCGGACTTCAAGAACTTACACACATGCTTAGCTTGTACACTGTAATTAGCATGCAATATTGAGCACGCAAGTCTTTGCAGGAAGGCGTCTCTGCCCTTAAAAGGACTGCTTTCAGCGTGGAATCCAGAAGCATGACGTATATACAACACCCTAGCAGGAAGGGAAGTCTTCTGTGTAATTTAACCATCAAATAAGCCAACTGCAAGTTCTGGTATTAGCAAATACAAGAAGTTTTGCTCTTCTTGCATTATCGCTTGCTATTTGTACATAGGAAGTGACTATGATTGTTCACACTGGCACATTCTCTCTTACTACTGAACACTGCTAACAAGGTTTGAAACTAGATATGAGCACCTTGGTGTGAATCATTCCCAAGAGCACATTAACCTTCTCCAACAAGAGCTTGTCCACAGTGAATGTCCATGTGCCACCAGCACACCAACAGTACCCACACATGTACACACCGGTCTCTTCATGCCCCTAAGTTATGGCAAAGGCAGTATGTACTTCTGCCCCTCACTTCCTCTCCACTGCTATGGCAAGGCAAAACAGTCACTTCTGTTTTTCCCCTTTTAAGAAATTTTTCTTGACTTTTATTTAATTGGGGGGGGGGGGGGGGTATCAGATCCCCACCACCCCCCAGTGTCCTTACCTGGGCAATTGACTGCCAAAGGGTAGGTCTTCCAAACACCTGGTAGAGATTCTTCACATCCTCACTTTGATTCAACCTTGATCTTACCTAGTCCCACATTAGGGATGCAGTTCTTAAGTGCCACGCTGCATTCCCTATCACTGTTTATTTCTATCAAGATGAGGTAAAGTCTCTGTTGGAGGCCAACCAGTCAGTCAGGGCCTGCCTATCTGTCGTAGCCCATACAGCCCTCTTGACATGATACTGCATGCCAGACTGCACCATGAATGCTTGTAGATATTTCTACAGGCCGTTTATTCCCCAGGATGGGAATAATTGTGCTGGTCAGAGCTCGGCAACCATGATGGAAAGACCCAGCCAGTAGTTGCAAGGGAGTCCTATTTTTCTCCTCTGAGCCATAGATGACCATTATGACAAACTTTTCCCTTTGGGGTAAGAAGCGCACATCAACTCAAACACAAAATAGTTGAAGCTTAGACCAACAGTACAGCTGCCTCAGTTTCTTCCACAGCAGGACAGATTCAGCTAAACAGATGTACCTAGTCAGATGGACTCGGTGTCATACAAAAACCCTTTCCCTCAACTATATTTAGGCTTTCCCATCAACTGTATTCGTCAGGGCTGAAGCATGGTCAGCTAGGGCCGCAGTTCTCAACCTTTGTGAAAAAACCCTGGGGTCCCACCATGATAAAAACAAATCCCCATTTTTTCCAAGAAGTGTATTTTTACATAACACTTATTTTAGTATATGAATCATTAATGGAAATTTTCAAATGAGTTGAAGTTCCAGCTACATGACCGTGGTGTCCCACCACTAAGCTAGGGTGCATGTAGAAGGACCAGTGATCCGTCTTCTATAAGTTGACAGGTCTGGAGTGCCCAAGAGCCTACCTCTTATTCCTTCTGGCAAAGGATCCCATTTTCCACAGGACCTCAATCTTCTATTCACATCCTGGGTGGGGCCACCATTTGGACCCATGGCAACCTGACCAGTTTCATTTATGAAGACTGCTTTTTTTTTTTTTGATAGCCATGACCTTGACAAGGATAGACAAAGGAGAGTACAGACTGCATGTACTCACTTACCGTCTTTTATTTCAGACAGGGTTTATCCCTATTTCTAACGGCTGTTGGCATCAATTTGGCCTGTCAGCAAATCAGTCAGCTCTCCCCTTTCCCCCAAAAGCTTGGCTGCTTGAGAGCAGAGGCATTACTGCATGCCCTTGGTGGAGGAGAAAATTCCCACAGCTATTTATTTCACTAGCTAAAAGATCTGTAGATACAGCAATTTGGGGCCTGGTTTAACACCATCTGAGATCCAAAAGGGTTGAGACCATTTAAGTGAACTGAGCAGGAGTAGTCAGAGCTGTTCCAACAGCAACTTCAGTGGCTTCCCTATTGCCAGTGTCAGGTATGGATATGTTCAAGGCAGTCCCCTGGAGCTCCCGTGAACATCTTCACCTGAGCACTGCACTGAAGCAGCCTCTGACATGGGTTGTGTGTCTGGCAAAGCAGGCCTGCAATCGCTGTCGAGCTAGGAGTCGGAGCCCAGGCTTCCAGTAGCTGGGCACTGGTTTGGAGTCCGTCATGTTAGAATGGGTATATGGAAAAGGCTCAAAGGAGAAATAAGTTGCTTACTACTAACTGGAGTTCTTTGGGTTGTGGTGTGCATACATATACTTTTTATCCTCTCATCTTCCCTGCATTGTGAGTTCTGCAGCTGAGGGGAACCAAGGAACAGGAAATGCACACCACCCTTTTAATAGGAGAGAGGGAGGATGCATACATGTTGTACAGATACTGCTAGGGCAAAACGTTTCAGTCACAGATACAGAAACATGCACATGATCAACATACTAAAGAACTCCTCCACGCAGCTAAAGAGCTTCTCTTCTTCCTTCCTCTACATCTGCCTGATAGAATTATTTTGTTTTTTGAATGAGTATTTTCTCCTTTCTTTTTTGAAGCAAAGATTGCGGAGGTTGCTCAGGAAGATGCGGGTGCTGCAACCTGCACAAGTCCATTTCATCCTTGCTTCACCCCTTACCTGCCAGTGCTGCAGCCAGCCAAACACTCAAGAAATACAGATGCATTCTTTGGCAACCTGCAGTTTTCTTGAATTTCTGATTTAGGTACTTTGTTGGTAAAGCCCTGCAGTAGGTATCAACACTAGAAAATACTTAATTATAAAAGGTGTATCATCAGGCTGCAGCATCAAAGCTTACTGGCATAATTAAAACACCTCTACAGCAGCAGAGGATAGCTGTGGGAGGATAGGAAGAAGCACCTTTAAGATGAATTGATTTGAAAAAAATATGTGCATTGAATCAACTAGATGCTAGTTTAAACAAATTAGAGGCTAAGAAAGAATGGAATTCTTTGGTTCCCACCCCCCGCTACCTCCCCCAAATCACTCTCAATAAGTGTATTTTTCTATACTACAGCAGTATACACTGACTTGAAAACATCTTTTTTTTCCCCCCACTCCTCCAGGTATCCACCTGGCATGGTCAGTGTAGCACCTGGAGGCATTCCAGCAGCTATGGAGGGCATCATCCCTGGAGGCATTCCCGTTACTCACAATCTTCCAACAGTGGCACATCCATCCCAAGCTCCATCTCCTAATCAGCCCACAAAACATGGGGACAACAGGGAACACCCCAACGAGCAATAGCAGATAACTTAAAAATCATTCAATAAACTTGGGACCAAGAGACATTGGGGAAAAAAGTTATACATGAACTTAAAAAAAATTTGATACAAAATTTGTAATGTTGATTTTGGACAGATGCATCACTGATGTTCCAGTGTTAACAACAAAGTGATAGCAGTCAAGACTGGGGAGAAACCCTGAAGAAGTCATCTGCTTACTGAAGCGCTGAAAACTAGGATGTGATACATAAACGATCAGCTTCTATTATTGTATGTTAAGTTTCCTTCATCTGTGCATCAAATCACAAAATAGATCTTTCCCTTCTCAAACCTTTGGGAATAGCAGGGCTAACGAACCTGTATTCAGAACATTGCATTAAGCAATCCTCACGGAGTTAACATTAGAAATTTAAGAGGAAACCATCATGTGGCTTCAGCCCTTTCCTTCCTCATGTATCTTAGTTACCTCTTCTTGCAGTAGGAGAAAATACTGGCCTAGAGATAAGAAAAAATTATCTTGTTGCAGTCTTACATGGCCAGCAACATACAGAAAAGTTCTCCTAATGTGTTTAGATGTAGCCATTCAGGCGAGGAATCTTGGGCTGGGGGGTGGAGGGAGAAAAGGTATATAGCAATATTCACTTCTCTCCAACCTCTCCCCACCAAATGAAAATGTGTCATCTGACCAACACACTGAATAAAGTAGCTGTAAGTTCAGTTATGCCCTCCAATGATGCAAAAAAAAAAAAAAAAAATTAAATTTCACTCACTATTTGTACTCAAATATATTTTCTCAGTTTTAAATCTGCAGCTATTTTATCAAGTGGAAAAAAGTCTTGAGCTGGAAAGGGTTCAAGAATAATGTTGCATTTCCTTATGTCTCAGGAAACACTTTTTATGGTAACTTGTCAGACTGTCTATGAACAAAACCCACTTTTTTAGACATTGATAAAGTCTTCTTTTCTTCACGTGATATTTTATACAAGAACACTTCAGAAATGTGTTATTAGATGTGACTGATTTTAACAAATCCTATTAGATTTGTATCAACTAGTTACATGTTATATTCATAGTCTTTTGTGAATCATCGCCTTTTTGTTTAAAAAAAGATGGCCTATTTTGAGCCTTTGTATGGGTACATTCCTGTTTCTGTGACAAAAAAAAATCTTAAGCTGTCCCAAACAGAAAAAAAAACAATGGCTATCAGAAATCTGTTTTGTTTTAGTGTGTTACCGTTATTGTATTTGTTTATTGTAAAGGTGAACATTTAGCGTTCAGTGCAGTTTTCAATAAAAAGTGATAAAATTTCTATAATTTCTGAAATGTAAGAGCCCTTGAAGCAATTTAATGATGTTTCCAAGTGAAAACCTGAGAACGTAAATTAAGGTATACAAGTGCGACTATAATGCTCTAGTACCTCCACTTTGAAAGAGAATGACTACGCAATTCAGAGGCAGAGCATATGTGGCTTTAGTGCAAGTAGTCAGAGCTGCCTCAACTTCAGAGCTGTGACGCGTCAGAGACCGACTGTCAGCTACCAACGGCCAGAGTTTCACTGACTCCAGCAGAGCGATGACGATTTACATCAGATGAGGCTCTACACTTAGGTACCTTCTCAAAATGCAAGTGTGAGACTGCAGGGGGTAGGGGGTGCGGAGGAGACGGGACAGTTCAGATTTGCCAATTCATAGTGAATTCTCAACTTCTCAAAATTAAAAAGGTAGCCAAGAAAAAAAACACCTCACCTCCGTTGGTTTCCTCCACAGACTTTCTGATGACTGATATCAGGAAGCAGAAGTGTGTAATTTTAAAATGTTTTGCTTTGCTAATATTTACAATGACTGCTACTACTTCCCTGTTTGCAGTTTGAATGAAGATCAGTGTCATCTGCCTTAGGAGTTGGAAGCAGGTGGCCCTTTGGCAGCTGAACATTTTTATAACTCCTGCATTAGTTCTTACCTACGCTAGGCAGAGAAAGTATAAGCAAACTTCTAGAGAACATTTACCACATGCTTGAGAAGTACTAGCAGCTTTAAAGCTCACTGCATGAAGGGCCTGTGTATTATTACTGTAGTTCCCTTTAAAGCTAGCTAACTAGATACCAGTACCATTTGTTTAGATACAGCAGATAACTTGATATAAGAAAAGACTGAAAAAAAAGCTGAAGCCAAAAAGGTTTCTAGTTACAAAACTTCTGTATTTTTTTTGTTTTAAATTAAACTGAAAGCTAATTACCAGCTTCAAACATGTTAAAAAGAGGTCGCATGTCATAGGTGAGTGACCATCCTTTTGTCAATGATTAACAGCACATATAAATGATTATCCATAAACACCAGCAAAGAGAAACCAGGAGAAGACAGGTTAGTTACAGAGAAGACATTTTGGGGGGAAAAAATAAAATGAAGGTAAAACAAGAGAGAACAGTGAATTCATGTTGTCAAGGTCTAAAATTATTTTTTCAAATAACTATTTCTGCTACTTTCATTTGCTTTTAAAGCAAGCAGCTGCATTCCAGATGGGTAAAAATCCTTTTCTGCGAAATCAAATCCTTTGTGTCAGTGGATCCTAGGGCATCCATTGCCAGCAGTCGACTTTGCACTAGGGAAACAAGAGTCCCTAGTTGCAGGGAATGGTAGACACTATGCTTTCATCCAGTATTGGACAAGAGACCAGATGCAAGTAAGTTTAGACAACAACTGCCACTAGAGTGCTAAAAAATCCAAATGTTACAGACTAATTAATGGGAGCATTGTAATAACAGGCTGCAGTTCTAGAAGTAATCTGTTACTCCTGCAGTTGTGGCCATTACTGAGGGATTCAGTGGTACTACCAGCAAAATATATAGCCTGTTGGCTGCATATGAAAGTGAAGAATGAAGAGCCTGCATCTATCCTGACAAGATGGATTGAGGGTCCAAGCGAAGTGACTGAAGCATGCTGCAAGTTTGTGGGCAAGTGGAGATAAAAAGAATAGCAACTACTTGATAATCCAAGTCACCTTGCTAAAAAGTAAGCCTGCTACTATTCATGGACTGAAGGAAGGAAAGCAGGAGGTCCTTCAACCACAGCACGTAGAGCAGTTCCAGGAAGAAAAAGTGCAGCTTTGGTGGCAGATACCCGATGCAGCTGTTCTTTAAAAAAAAGACCGATACCTCTTTAGAAAGCAAAGCTCACAAAAGAAGTTATCTGATCAAACATAAACAATGCAACAAGACTCTCTAACTTTTATTTCAGTGCGTCGGGTTATGACTTGCTGGAACCTCGCAGAGTTCACTTACAGCTTAGCTTGGGACCACTATGGCTAGATTGTGTATAACCTACTAAAACAAAAATGATGCAAGGGGCAAACTGACCAAGGAATTTCTCCCCAAAAAAGCCAGATGCAGATAGGGAAGTGTCTGAAATGATGAACCACAGACTGCACTAGGTGAGCATGCATACACTTCTGGGACCAATGATATGGGGAATAGTTCACCAATGCCAAGAAATCAAAAGACATTTTTTTTTTAAAAAACAGTTAAGCCAATACAGCAAGCAGGACTTGGCAGCCAAGTACAATTCGGTATCTGTAAATCTTTAATTATGCTATTTGGAGAGATTACTACTGGTATACACTGACAGCAAAAAGGCCAATTACTTGCACCCTTCGCTAATCGAAAAGGCCAAATGCAGCACTAGCAGAGCTTCCAGAGCTCAAGTCAGGGGATTCTTTTAAAGCCTCTCGAGTTCTGAAAATGCAGTGAGGTTCATCAGCCTGAACGTGTTATTTTATAGCACATCAGAAAAACAGTAATGATAAACAAAGCCAAAACTCGAATGCATCAGGAGAGTCAACTGGGAAGAAAAGCACAAGACAGATGTTAAGCATCCCAGGGTTTGGTCTGGTTTTTAAAACAGCAGAGATGTAGCAGAGTGCATGGTACTGCCATTAACTGCAAAATGTTTCTTTCTTCATAAAGGAAGTCGCAAGCTGCCTAGATGGCTGTTAGAGACGAGGCTTGTTCTTGCACACATTTGGCTAGAGAAAGGTTTGTCCTCTCTTACATTTTATCTTTCTGGCCATTTTACAGTCCCCTTGTGCTTCCTCCAATTCCCAGTCTTGTTCTATCACAGTGGGAAGGATTTTCATGAAGATTTTTGTAAAATGACGCATCAACACCACTTCCAGTAGCCTACTGAAATGAAAGCACTAGCTCCTAGTTTACTTAAGGGCTTGTCTACAAAGGATGTTATCACAGTAAGATGAGACCAAGTTCACAGCACACTAGCTATTCCACTAGCTACTCCCCACTGGCCAGGCGCCTCTTAATGCACTTCAGCAGACAGACTTTGTACAGACCATGAGTGCCCACCCTGGTGGCAAGTACAAAATAGCTGGTGCTCTGTAAATTCACACCCTAACCTACTCCACACCAACTTCCCCATGTAGGCAGGCCATGAAGTAGCCCACTGTTCAAGATACACCTGGATTTGACTATCATGTAACAAAAGTTCAAATGAACAGAGGACAAGGTATCTTTTTACCTTAATACTGCATTTCAAAAGCAAACTTAAAATTAGGACTGTATATAAAGTGGAACCTGTTCACTATCTGCAATTCTCCTATTTCACTCAGGTAAATCATATGTATATTGCAGAGAAACATGCATTCGTTTACCTGAAAATTTGTGCATGCACCAATCAAAGGTGACCTAATGGCCAAAAGTGTGAAGACACATTTCTTAATAAATCTCAATGGAATCTGTGATGGGAAAAACTGCTAACATAATACAGTACTTCATTATTTCTATAGTTTTGGTGTTTTGTCACCAAGTTTACGTAGGAGTTGTGCACATTTCAAACACCATCTAAGCAGCATTTGGAAGAAAAAGCAGCAAGTTCCTTAGGGTGTCCATAGCTTTAGACTACACAAAAATACGTGCTATGGGACTTCCTTCCAAATCCTAGTTAAAAACAAATAATGCCATCTACTGAAAAATTCCCGATCCACCAGCCACACCACCAATAAACGTCAAAGTGCTTATCAAGATTGGAATTGCACTGCCTGTGTAAAAGAAACTGGCATTAATCTTTAGTGTTTCTAAGTGAGATTTTAGATAGACTTTATCCATTACAGACTGCATGGTTAAAGTTATCAAATATAACAATTTCTATGGGAGAATATACTCTGAACTTACACTTTTAGGAACTTACATTTAAGTATGGCCACATCAATCAACATGCAAGAAATTCCCAGGTTTACATATTGAGAAATAGATAATACAGTGCTTTTAAAAAACAACTTTAGCATAATTTTTTTTTTTTTAGTCAGAACTGTCAAGCATTCCCTCATGAGATTTTAATAACCAAGGAATGCCCCTTTTAAAAGGCATTTTTTTCACTTGCGGCAATGTGGATTTATGATATATTTAAAGGATTAAATGATACACTATACATATCACAGCAAGACTGGGTTTGAACAACAGAAAATTCTCAAATCATGTGTAGCATCTGCTAACTCAAACACTTTTAGTCTAGAATCACTGGAATAAGAAACCTTATATAGTTACATCACTTTTCTGAATAAATATTTTGACCATATTGAAAGAAAAATCTAAGCAAATGTAACAGGATGAAATATTAAATGAAAAAGGCTTTTCAATTCAATTCAACAAAATTTCACTGCATGAAAAATTTAGTTCTTCCAGTTTGTTCATTAAAGATTTGATTTTATTATAATGGGCAAAACGATAACTAAAATATTAATAAAATAATGGACTGGTCTTTATGTCCAACTTGCTGCGGGTAGTTTGTGCAAACAAAAATCCTCACAACCTGACCTGGGCACTAATGAGATCTCGCATAAAGGGCCTGGCAAGGAAATGTGTCAGAATAAAAGTGAATTAGAATATCAAGCACTACTGTAAAAGAATCTCAGAGGGAACCAATATCCATCTAACATGTGCTTTTGTAAGTGCCCTTATTCAAAAAAATTTCTCAGTAATTTTAAGATGCTGGTATACTTTTCCTATTACACAACTTCTCACACAACCACATGCGGTACATTTATAGACAGATTTACAATTGGAAAGAATTTTTTTTTCTGTCTTGATAATAAAATTAGGGGATTCTTTTGTTTCTCTTGTTTTTTCTTTTTAACAAACTGCAGTCCAACCAACTCAGCTCTCTTCACACAGCAGCCAAGGCTCTAGATTCTCCCCACACTGGTTAGAAAAATCCTTTCCAGCACAGTTCCGCTAGAATTGGGTCATTCCATAACAAACTGCTGGAGCATAACGCTAACTTTGGGGTCATCAGACAGTATGCACTGGTATTTTCTTTTGATTTCATCATTCATCATCGTCATCTTCATCTTCCTCACCATCAGAAAGGGATGTACAAGGTCGGATCTGTCGATAGCGATCGAGCCACTTCTCTACCATTTGTGTGACCAGGGGATGATTGCGGCGCCGAGAGCTTTTCTGCATAGCAACGAGAACTCCTCCCTCCGTCACACAGCAGTCCAGCCACTCCCTGAGCAGCTTCTCTTGCTGCTCCTCATTACCTATCTTTAGGAAGAGAAAATGGACACAAATGTGAAGGTGTCAAGACTGCCAAGATCTTTAAAAGAAGCAGCCTGCCATGAACTGTGAGATCCATATTAGTGGAAACATTCTTCCTTTTAAATGCCTTTGTGGAAAAGTTGCATTTTCATAGTATTTAGATTCCTTCAAACATGATTAGAAGCCCATCTAAGGGCTCACAAAGGCTAATGTTTCAAAAGCAATATTTTTGTTAATTCTTGAATTGTTTCTTCTTCTCAACCTAATTTCAAAATTCTCCTAGTAAATGTGTGTGACATTGCACATTTACAGCAAGCACAACCCTAAAATGGATGAGGTCTTGCAGAGAGCTTGTAATCTGCAAAGCAAGCCTTACAATTCTAGTAGTGCACTAGTCAAAACCCCTGCTTTTATAAAAAAAAGACATTCACAGTTGTAGCTCAAAAATTATATAGTATTTCTTTTTCTGTGCAAAGCATTTTTTAGACTAGCACTCATAGCCCTTTTGATCTCAAGATCCTAAAGTGTGCCTTTAGTTAGCCAAAACGGGCTCCTGTCAGTATCCGTCAGAAAAAACAAGCATAGACACCTTAGAGCACACAGCCATATTAAATGCCAACTTTCAAAACCTACTGGCTAATAATTACATTATATCCATTCACATTAGGGCTGAATATAGCCACTTTTGGCCTTACTGTTGCCTATTTTTGGGTTCATCTGTATTCACCAATATTGTACATTTGCACTCAAATAACAAGTAAATAAGGGTTCACAGACTTGGAAAGCATCCTTTAGAATAGCCTAAAAGGATGGGGAAGGGAACAGAAGTAAGGAAAGGATACAGTATGGACTTTAGGCCAAACTGCAGAGTCCTTCGGTACCCGCAATTAGAAACCACCATGGAGGTGGGGAGGGGGATAGAGAACAGGACAATGGGACACACCTTTTAGTTACAAAAACGCCTTACCTCTTGAGCAGAGAGGAAGTGAATGTGCAGCAGTTTCCTCTCACTGTCGACCAATGGTAAAAAGGTAATGGTAACATCATCATCAGTGTTCAGGTTAGCACCGGCACCTCGATTGCCATAACCATCATTCTCCATGGCAACCAGAGCAGAGAAGTGGCCCCTTGTGTAGCCCAGAGCAATAGGACTTTTCCAACAAAAACTCTGTTCCCATAACAAAGGCAGATACACACCTAAAAGACAAAAGGGACAGACACAGGCCTGGGACCTTCTTTCATTTTACAGACTCATCAGGTTAGAAGGGACAAAGGAGATCTAGTCCAACTGTCTGCACACATGAAGGATTCACCATTTCTAAACTATCCTCAGACACACGCCTAAGCAGCCTTTGCTTGAACGTACCACCTCCGCCAGCCTCCTGGCCCTGCCCCCAGAGAGAGTGGCTGCAACTTCCACAGACTGCTCGTTCTCCTGCCCTACAGTTCAGTTGTTTTTCCTGAGACTACCAACCTGCACTCCTGGCAACAAACTCACTGCCTCCTGCCCTGCCTTCTGTGGCAAAAGACAGCAGTTCTTTCAAGTATTTCAGAACTGCTATCAAGCCCCCATTAAGCTGCAGACCCTCACCTTGTCCTCATGCAGCTACATCCCAACCCCTTATCTTTGCTGATCACCTCTAGATCCTCTCTCCTGTCCTAAAAAAGTCCTTCTTAGAAATGCACACAGCTGGAAGCCCACGCAACAGTGAGAGGTAATGTCTTGAATACAGTGCTTCCCTGAATAACTAGCATTTGCTCTTTTGACAAAAGCACTACATAGCTGACTTGTTGAATTTGTGATTCCCCATACCCCTGCTCCCATCCCATAACCTCCAGGCGCTTCTCAGCAATGCTACTGCCGCACCAGTTTATCCCCCATTTACAGCCATACACTTAGTTTTATTCCCTAGGTATAGCATCTCACATTTATTTTGTTGAATTCATTTTGTTCACAGCCCAGATGTTTAAGTTTATCAAGATTCTTTGACTTTTTTTTTTGGTTGGAAAAAACATACCCCACCACGTTGCAGCTGTCATAGAAGCATAAAAAATTAGGGTTAGAAGGGACCCTCAGGTCATCCGGTCCAATGCTCTCCTCAGAGCAGGACCATCCCCAACTGGATCATCCCACCCAGGGCTTTGTCTAGCTGGGTCTCAAAAACCTCCAGGCAAGGAGAGTCCACCACCTCTCTGGGTAGCCTGTTTCAGGGTTTTACTATTCTCCTAGTGAGAAAGTTCTTCCTAATATCTAATCTAAAACTTCCCTTGCTACAACTTGAGACCATTGCTCTTTGTTCTGTCATCCGCCACCACTGAGAACAGTCTAGCTCCTTCTTTTGAACCCCCCTTCAGGCAGTTGAAGGCTGCTGTCCCATGGAAATGGATCCATTTTTTCAGCACAGCCAATCACTACTGGCCTACCACAGTGATTCTCAATCAGGGCTCCACAGCACCCTGGGGCACCTTAAGATCCCGTCAAGGGTGCTGCCAGATGCCACACAATGTTAGCGCTATTAGGTGAGTGGCAGAGCACCCTTGGTGCCTGCCATTTTAAGGGCTTAGAGCAAGCAGCAGGGCAGCCAGCACGTGTGGGCCAGCCCTGATGAGGCAGTCACATGACCAGAGGAAGGGGCCGAGTAGCCTCCATTTCAACTCAGGCCCTCAGGGATGAGACAGCAGTTTGCTGCTGGCAGCTGTGGAGAAAATGCCACCCAGCTGAGCTGCTGTTCACAACATCATGGAGGTACATGGGCAGGACCTCTGGGGAAGGAGGCGGCTCCAGGTCCTGGGCATGACCAAAAACTACACCCTGCTGGGGTAGGATGGTCTAGTGCGGCTGCCCATAGAAACGCCAGGCCTGTCACCTCCCCAGTGAAAGGCAAGTAAGGGGCACCTTATAACCCCTGCTCCCACACTCTTTTAGGTTGAGCGAGCCCTGAGCCGAGTTGGTAGACGCAGGGAGCCCTGAGCCAAGTGAGCACTGAGAGGTCCGAGGCCTAGGTGCCATATTTAAAACTGCATTTTTTGCCTCTCCGCTGATGACATGCGAGCAGCAAGCAGTGGGGCCCTTCAACCAATCAGCAGTGGGGGGCACAGAGGGGAACCTTCAAGGTGAAGGGAGCCACTGCACAGCCTACTCCTGCCATGAATTTGGTAGGTTCCTAATGATCCACAATATAAATCCAGAGATTTCAAAATGGGGATCCATAGCGTTAAAAATGCTGACCTGTTGTGGGCTTTCCGAACAGAAAAAAACTGCTCTAATATTTTTCCATAAATCAAAACCTGAGTGAAGCCAAGAGCTGGCATTTTCTGAGGGATGTCAAGTCAAACACAGCTGAGAACCACTGGCCTAGCAGGAAATTGTGTGCACGATCTAATTCAATATAGTTAAAGTTGGCACATAGGTGCACTTATCGTTCTAGCTGTCACTGCAATACTGTTCCCCTAAAATGTATAGTACAATAGACAACAGTAAATTTAACAGTTGTAACAAAGACTTGTTTTCAACCACTTAATCTGATTAAATTCTGCATCAGAAACAAATTTATCATTTTCTTTAAAAAAACAAGAATTAAACCTGATACTTTCACAAATTATTTAAAAATATTATTATACCATATATTATGTAGTACTTAAGATGTATGGCAAGCTGTCCCTGTCTGGCTAGACAGCCTCAAAATGCTGCATTAAAAAGTTAGAACTGCATTAATTACTTATATCAATTAACTGAGAAATGCTGAAAGGTCATACTGTCATCTTTGATGAAAGCAGGTCAGTTTAAACTTAGACAAATGAGAACCACAGACTTTGAATGAAGCTGTAGTTTTTCCAGATCATTTTTAAAAGCAAAGCAAGCAAATTGGTCAGGCGCAGCAAGTCTCAAAGCGTAACTGCCTCCTGCCTTTTCCTCCAGGAACACAAGTAACTCTTCGCATGTACCCCAGCAAGACAATTCAAGCAAAAGTATGCCTTACCTTGTGACAATTTATAAATAGCTGGGTACAAACCAAGTGCATATGTAGCATAGCAACCTTTAATAGCATAGCTATCTCCAGTAGGTTAGCAGCTGAGGCTGCAACAAAATAAGCCAATCTCCTCCTTGAACATTAAGATACTGAAGGGCAATACTGAAAAGGGCACCTGTTAAATCAGCCATTCCCAAACTAGGGGTCAGAAGCACAACAAGAACGTAACTGCAGATCTGGGGCTTGCAACCAAAAGTGGAGATGTCAACAGAAAAGTCTGGCAACTGCTTCTGTAGGTTATCTGCGTTTCTCCAAGCCTGGAGAATGAAAACTGAACAGTGACACTTGCTCATATCAGGTTTCCGGTAACCTGATGTTTAGGTTTTAAACTCTCCAAAGAAATGTCTATGTTTTCTCTCTCATTTCTATCTTTTTCTAGCTATACAAATGTTTCTATTTGTTTTAAGTCCATATTAAAATTCTATAAAAGTCTAAATGTGGAGGTGAGATTCATTTGGCAGCTCCCCTGTCAATTAGAATATAACTTTCAACTATATCCCAACTTTACATTTGATTACCTTGATTTAAAAGTAGCAAATGGCAGGATAAAAAGGATAACCATTAGCAAAAAAAGAAGCAGCTGTGTGTCTAAAGTAAATGAGATTATCCAAAGGAATGAGGAGTGCAAAGTTACACTGAAAACACATGCTAACAGCTAATGCAGTGAAAAAACTCCTGTAATTCCTGGAAATTAATTCTGCATAGGCAGGTAAGCAAATTATTTAACATATTTTTCATTTCAATACTGGTTGTGCTGAAGTTCCAAGTCAAATCACGCATTGAAGAGAGAGCTAATTTCTTAGCATTGAATGCTTGCACTTTTAAAAATGCATATTAAAACCTAATTTGCATAACAGCACTAATGTTTTAAAGCAACACACCACACAGATGAAACCACCGCCACCACAACTTGAAAAAGTAAGACCTCTCAGATATGCAACGTTATAAGCTTCCACAATAACAGTCCCAATGACATAATTAGGAACTCTTCTTTTCTATAATCACTTTGGTTGCCCTCAAGTCCCTCCCTTCAGGACTATGGCAATTAATTTTTATAACAATTTTAGGATTTCATGCGCTCTGCTCACTTCTTGGCTCTCAGGCTCTGTGACTAATAGGACTAACAGGAGACGCCCAGGAGAAAAGCTCTACCAAGTAGTCAGTTGCTGCTAACAGGATTTCCACAGCAATCAAAATGAAGCCTGCTTCAGTTAAATAAGTTTCTTTAGGTAAATCTGATATCTTTTATTAGACCATATCAATCTTTTATTATACCAACCAACTTTTGAGTTGGTCTAATAACAAATATCAGATTTACCCAAAGAACTTTGTCCGCCTATGTCCTTAGACCAACACGGCTACAACCTACACTCTTGCTTCAGTTAAATGAATCCTTAGCCCTGTGTTCAAGGTATTCACCACTAAGGGCCATATATGAAACTCATCTCATAAACCATACCTTTTATGACCTTTTTCCTAATGTAGTGTTTTGCAAATTTTTGGTACTTGGGGGAAAAAAAAAATTTTCTGGATTAAAATTGGTGGCACACTTCACTTGCCAGCCTGCAGGCCTCATCCAGCCACGTCGGACTGGCATGGCCAGGGCCCATCCAACCCATTTTTCATGGCACACTCCCACTGCTCTCTCAGCACATCAGTGTGCTACAGCATACCCTTTGGGAATTGCTGCCTAAATGGCTTATATCCAAATTAAAACGGCATTAAGTAAACTTTCCACACACCTGGCATGCATGTCTGCCCAAACATCCAGAACCCCACCTACTCCTCTGAAACAAAGACCCCCTCCACGGACAGAGCATCCCCAGTCCCACTTATCTGCAACACAGTGTTAACATTCCCTGTCCCTGTTCAGTCCCATCCATCCCTTGTTGGATATTTGAGGCTGTGCCAGTAGCAGTCTCTTACCGATTCCTCCCATTTCTCTCCATCTTACTACTGATTGGCAGGGCTATCCCCCTCCCTTCTTCTACAGTTTATGGGACTTACAATTAGTCTTAACAGACAATGAAGTTCTCACAGCAGCAGCTCTAGCGTGGTGCTGCTACTGCCACCACAGCTCCCACAAGGAAGCAGCAGAGGCACCCAAGGTCTACTTGGAAAAAAGCATGGGGGGGGGGGTTTAGTCTCTTCTCCTAAAATGGTGGC